AAATGTGCCCCTGGGAATTCAGGAAACCCACATTCTGAGCCCAGCCCTGCCACTAACTTGATTCTTGAGCAGCTAAGCTGCTGCTTCCGACTTCAGTTTCCTCACCTGCAAGTGAAGAAATTGCATCAGATTATCCTTCAGGTCATAGTTCACTTCCCCAAAAAGTTTGTGAGCTCACACTTTCAGAGGAACCATTGTGGTGGAGACTCCTTAGCTTATAGCAGAAAGTATATAACCAAGGCTGGCTTCCCCCCACCTCCTCCCCTCCCAGAACAACAAACCTTTTCTGGCTTCTGCTGATGGCATCTCCACTTCAAGCAGGTGAGAAAGCTCCTGAGTCTCTCACCCCTCATCTTGACTTGGGCCTAGGTTAGCTTTCAAAAGAGAAGCACTGGGACAGCCAGGCATGCTCCTGCTGCTGCTCCTCCTTCCTTGAGACCTGGCCTTGATGTCATAACTGGGTAACTATGACAACCTGTCATGGGAACAGCTAAGTACCTCACAGAGGAGCCTAGATGCCTCATTTCTGAAGTGAGTCTAGGAAGAGAAGATGAACAATTCCCTGGATTATCTAGCCTACCCCGTTATCGTCTCTAATCATAGGCAGAGCACAGCCTTCAGGAAGAAACTGGACTTTGGCCACTACATATGTCACAAGAATAGAATACAAATAGGTATGTGGATCATTTAGGCTGGACACTGTGATTAGGGGTTCTGAAAGGGTCTACCTTGGAGATATTAACAGTAAACCAGACCAGTATACAGCTTTACGATGATGTGGCCTTATCTACTGAGTTGGGTCAAGAGATCATTAGCATCAGAGACAAATTTACCTTCTATCAGGGAGTTTATTTGAGAGAAATGCTAATTTAAACTCTGTAAAGCCAAAGTAAGCTAGAAAGAGGATAGGACTTCAGCGCATGATAGATAAGCTAGTCATACCAGGAAAGGGTGGGAGAGAGGCTCTTTCGTGGATTCAAAGGACATTTATCTCTGTCAATTTTACTTTCTCTAGCCCTCACGATTCTTTCATTTCTGCTCAAAACTCTTTGAAAATGTCAGTTTGGGAAATTAAACTAAACTAAAATTCCTGAACTGGATTAAGGTCAGAATTCAAAATTGAAATGTTTAGTAATTGGGGTCATTGTCTAGAATGCACGCCTATGATGTGACATTGTTCATTTTTATTTAACTTTCTCTAGTGAAGCCGGCTGTTGACACCAAACCTCCAGTGGCACACACACATCATATTTTAAAGTTGAGCAAACTACAGGTATTTGTTTTTGCCATCTGCCGATTTGCCTAATTTTTATCTGTCCTAAAGAGGTCCAGTTTCCCAGAGCCTTCTAAATACTTACCTAACCCAAAGATCTGTTAATTCTCATCCTGCCCACACACATTACCCCCAGTTTCCTCAGCTCTGCTCCCAGTCTCCACCATGACCCTCAGTTTGCCTCTTTCCCACAATCCCAAAGGAGGGTGATGCTAAACCATTGTGTGTTAGAGCACAGGGTAGCGATGATGTCACCATGGAGGGGTGCGGTCTCTCACCAGGGCGAACAAAAGAGAATCGACAAAATCGAATATGAGAACAAGAAACTGTGCCAGAAAATCGCCAATGCTCATCGCGGGCCTGCCAAGGTGGATTGCTGGAACGAATATTTTTCCAAGAGGTAGTGTTTTTTTTTCTCTTCATTTCAGTTTTGGAAAGTCATTCCCCCTTGTTAAGTTTTAGTGTCTCCTGACATTAGGTTCTCCTGAGCGGGAGGAATATGGGAAGTTATCTTGAGGAATAACCGAAAAGACCACATTAAGGAGAATGAAAACTACCCAAAACAAGGACCTAGTGTTAAGGAGCTAACTTTTATTTCATCTAAGAGGCTTGTTATAGTCTCATTCAGAGTTTGTCGCAAGAAAGCACTGTGTGCTTTTGTAAAACGGTGACCGTAGCTGGGACTATGACATAGCATTCTTAAGAATTGGTTCCACGATGATTTCCTGAGCAACTATTATGTGCTCAGCACCAGGAATATAGAGATGAAATGAGATATATATATTATTTCCTAACCTCAGAGAACTCAAGATCTGGTAGGGGAGACATTTATGTAAATAATAAAGCCGTGTGGTTAGGGTTACAGAAGAAGTGTATGCAAAGGAAAAAACTTGGGTAGATGAGGAAGGTGGGGAGTGTCATGATGCCTTTTCAGTATCCTTGTATATCTGAAACTGACTTGAAAGCTGAGGAAAGTGAGGTGAAGCAAAACTTGTCATCAGCCATTTGAGATTTATCCATAGGCAAGGCCTTCCTTCATCATAGAAATCAGACGTTCTCAATTCTTGTTTCATGTAATTACTGAGGAGCTTTTATAAAATGCCATTGCCCAAGCTGCACCCCAGACCAATCAAGTAGAATCCTCTAGTGCATAGCAGGGCTGAAAATCACCGATCTAAATTTACCAGCCGCTGCGATACACATTCCCCAGAGTAGTCTGGTTCAGTCGGCGTGTGGGGCCTCAGCTCTGCGGGACAGCTCGCTCCCTGCACTGCTGCAGCCTGGGTTTGTGACATCGTGACTTTATCACCCTTACTCCTATCCAAGAGGAGAATTTCCTTCTTCACCCATCTCGGGGTTTTGTGTTTTTCAGCTTAAACAGAGAAACAAGGAACCGGGAGCTAGTGAGAATCACCGTGGAAAACCAGGGCATTCTGAAGAGGCTTTGTGATCGCAAACCCCACTACGACCGCAAGTCATCGGAGATCGACTGGCAGGCACGTAGGGATTCTGGGATATTCCTCTGTGTGCGCAGAGTTCATCTGTGTTCAGAGTAGGGTCAGTTTCAGGAGGGACCCCTGAGCAGCTGAGGATGAGATCGTGAGAAATGTTACCGCCAGTAAAAGAAAAACCACCCAGAGCAAACCATCCGCAAACTAAGGACATCTCCTTGGTAGCAAAGCCATTATGTATCAGTTTCAGAAAAATATCTGGTAGCATCTTCTCCCCTCCCTTAATTCATTAAGCAAGGCTGAATGTATAAGCGCAGAAGATGAAGGGTATATCATCCAGTATGTGGTTAATTTTGCTTCATTTAGGAATAACCCTTCAAGAAGAAAAAACCATCTGCAGTGTTTTTAGCACCTCCACTCCCTAGCCTTTCTCTGTAAGCCTTTTCTAAGCCATCCTTAGAATTTAGAACTTCAGCTTGCATACCAGCACCCTGGCTTTGACATAAATTTTTCTGAATTTTTTTTTTCCTTCAAGAATTCAAGACGCTACATCAGAAATACAACAAGATATCTTCTCTCCCGAGATGAATAGGTATGTCTTCTCCGGGCTGCTCTTTACTAAAGAACATGGTGATCACGGTTGATACCAAATCCTCCTCAGATGGAGAGTGAGGGGACCGGTTAAGGGGTGAATTTGCTCTTCTACAGTATCAATTGGTCATCATCCGTTCAGGGAACTTGGAGCTCTGTCTTTGTTTAAGGAGGAAATGTCTGTCTTTTGTCATCAGCTTTGAGGCTTTACGTGAGTCTGAGAAGTGATTTGTTCCAGGAAGATATAAACAACAGGCTTCGTAGCTTTAATGTTGTGCCAAAGTTACATTACAGGTCTCTGTCACTATTCAAAAGTACTGTTGTCTTGGCATTTTTTATTATTGAACATTTTTCATAATGACTCAGTTTGGTTTTCCCCTCCCGGGGAGAAGAATAAATGGACACTGAGGCTTTCCAAAGAATAGTTCTGTATAATTGATGGTTCTCCATTTCTCTCCCTCTCTTCTCTCTGAATACAAGGTTACTCACTGCAGAAAAGATACAAGAGAAGGCGCTAGGATTTCTTAGCCGCTTAGACTCTCAAGACACTTCTAAGTGGCTGAATGCTCAATCTTAGAATGCTACAATAAAGCTTGGAACATAAAGTGAGTAAGTTACATTTAAGGCAACCAATGGCTTTAAGTCCCATCCCCAAATGGAGACAGAATGGGGTAGGCAGAAGGAAAGAGGCAATAAGCATTTTTATTTGGGGCTATGAAAAGAAGTTTTAATGAGAGAGAACTTTTAAAAACGAACACCAGCACCACCATCCTGAGCGGGGAGAAAAGGTGGAGTGAGATGATCTAGCCAAAAGTTCAGCTCTGTCCAAATGGAAAACAAAAGCACATGGTGAAATTAAGGTTCAGACAACACAGAGAACAAATGCCATTAGTTTCTCTGTGAATACACAGAATTGAAAAAGAATGCTTCATTGATGTTTCTAGGTACTGTGTTCATTCATAGGGAGCAAGCAACAGTGAAAGCATCAAAAAATGTATCAAAACGCGTGACAAGACAACATTGCATGGCTTCTATGACTGGTCATGGTGGTTTTGAGCCTGACTTTTTAAACTTTTTATTTTAAAAGATGGTAGATTTTAAATTTTCTCATTACCGATAAATAACTTTTTTGTTTTAAAATAATTAGATTCGCTGGAAATTGCAAATAAATGTATGGGAGGGGCCTCCTGCTCCCTTCCTCCAGCTTCCCCCAATGTTAGCATGTTGTGTAACTATAATACAATATCGAACCAAGTTTACACTGATACAATCCATAGAGCATATATACGTTTTGCCAGTTACACATTTGCATGTATAGCTCTATGCAATTTTATCATGTGTAGCTTTGAGTGACTACATGTTCAAGATAGTTAGCTGTGCCATTATCAAAAGACTCTATTGTAACCCCTTTTAGCCACAGCCACGCACTTCTTCTCATCCCGAACCCTTGACAATCACTAAGCTATTTTCCCTCTCTATCATTATGTTATTTCAGGAGTGTTACATAAACGGGATCATGCAGTATATATCCAGTCTTTTGAGATTGGCTTTTATTCACCCCATATAATTTCCTGAGGTTCATCCAAGTTTTGTGTACCAATAGTTCATTCTTTTTTATCTCTGAGTAGTATTCCGTGGTATGGATGTACCACAATTTGTTTAACCATTTACCCATTGAAGGACATTTGGGTAGATTTTAGTTTTTTGACCATTATGAATAAAGCTGTTATGAACATTTGTGCACAAGTTTCTGCATGAAAATAAGTTTGATTTCTCTGGGATAAATGCCTAAGAATGCAATTGCTGGATTGTATGGTAAGTCCATTTTAAAAGGAACTACAAAACTATTTTCCAGAGTGGCTGTACCATTTTACATTCCTACCAGCAATGGATGAGTTTTTTCCACATCCTCACCAGTATTTGAATTTATCACCATTTTAAAAATTTTAGTCATTCTAATACATGCATAGTGACATCTCACTTGGTTTTAACTTGCATTTCTCTAATGATTAATGAAGTTGAACATCTTTCATATGCTTATTTGCCATCTGTTCTTCCTCTTTGGTAAAGTGTCTGTGCATCTTTTATCTATGTTCTGACTGGATTGTTCTTTTTTGAAATATTGAATTTTGAAAGTTCTTATTATATTCTAGATACAAGCCCTCTTTTGAATGTGATTTGCAAAATATTTTCTCCCAGTCTGTAATTTGTCTTTTTGTCATCTTAATGGGTTCTTTCACAGAGCAAAGTATTTTAATTTTCATGACATCCAATTTATCAATGATTAAACTATTCTCTATTATGACTTTATCAGTGTCAGTATCCTGGTTGTGATATTGTGCTATAGCTTTTGCATGTGCTACAACCGGGGGAACTGGATAAGTGGCACGTGGGATTTCCGTATTACTTATATACATGTAAATCTAGAATTACCTCAATATAAAAAGTTGAAAGAAAAATATCAATATGTCCAAATATAAATTCATTATTAAACTGGTTCCAGTTCATCTCAGTTTGAGGAACCACCATTCTTCCAGACAGCCAAGTGAGAAACCTGGCAGTCGTCCTTTAAATAGTCTGTTTATAGAATATAGAACATATCCTATAATTTCAATCCTTTTAAATGTGTTAATGTCATCTATCTAGGCGACTATTTTAGGGGCATTTGAAATGGACATGTATTTTGCTGTTGTTGGGAGGAGTGTTCTATAATCCTATTGGTTGATGATATTTATTTTTTTCTCTTCTAGTTCTATCAATTGCTGAGAGTAGGGTGTTGAAATCCTCAGTTTTAATCGTGAATTTGTCTATTTCTCTTTTCCGTGCTTATTGGTTTTTATTTCATGTATTTTAAAGCTCTGGTGTTTGGTGCATGCACATTTAAGATTGCTATATCTTGGTGGAGTGATCCTTTTACTATTATATAATGTCCCTCTTTGTCTCTAGTAGTTTTCTTTCTCTGAAGTCAACTTTATATAACAATATAGCCACTACTGCTTTTTAAAATTTGTTACATAATATGTCAGTTTGTATCCTTACTTTCTGCTTACATATGTACACTTGTAGACAACATATAGTTGGGTCATGTGGGGGTTTTTTAATCCTCTCTGCCAGTCTCTTTTTTAATTGGTCCCTTTATCCTCCTCACTTTCAAAATACAATTATTTAATATATTTCCTTTATACACATTAAGCATCACATCAGATGGTGGTGTAACTTTTGCTTCAACCAGAAAAATATGAGTCAAGAAACTCAAGAAGTGAAGAATCATCTATTATGTTTACTCCTATTCTTACCTATTCTGGGTTTTTTTTTTTTGTTTTTTGTTTTTCCATTTCTGAAGGTCTCAACCTTCTATTTTCTTTCTGTTTGAAGCACTTCCTTTAGCCATTTTTTGAGGCTGAGGGAAACCAATAGAATTTGTTAGTTTCCCTTCCTCTGAGAATGTCTTTATTTCTACTTCATTCCCAAAGGATAATTTCATCACATATAGGATTAAAAGTCGACATTTCTTTGCTTTCAGCACTTGACAAATGTGTCACCTTTTCTGGCCTTCATAGTTTACTCTATAAGCAATACTAAAATAGAACTTGAATTAGTGTTCTTTCTTAGTTGTTTCTCCATTTTTAAGGTTTTTTTTCATAGCCTTTCGTTTTCAGATTATGATGTCTTGATATGAATTTCTTTGAGGTTATCCTATGGGGGGTTTTCAGCCATTATTTCTTCGGATATTTTTTCAGTCTCATATTTTACCCTCTCCTGGGACTCTGATGATACAAATGTTAGCTCTTTTGTTATTGTCCCATGGGTCCCCCCCTTTTTTTTCAGTCTGTTGTTCAGATTGAGTAAATTTTCTTGATCTATCCTCAAGTACCCTGATTTGAGCTTCTGGCATTTCCATTCTACTATTGAGGTCATACAGGTTTTTTATTTTTTGCTATATTTTCATTTCTTTAATTTTCATTTGGTTTTCATAACTTCTATGTTCTTGCTAATATTTTTTATTTTCATTTTTCCGAGAAAATTTCTAACTGGTCATTTTAGCATTTTTATTACAACTGCTTTAAAATTCTTGCCAGATAAATTCCAGTATCTGAATTATGCCAGTATTGATATCAATGGATTGTCTTTTTCTTATTGAGATTGGGTTTTCCTGGCTTGGGGTATGATGAATGACTTTCTATTGTATCCTGGGAACTTGGGTTGTTATGTTAGGGACCTCTTAATCTTATTTACATTTATTTTAGCAAGTAAAGGTTCGTTTTAGGTGTAGTGCATAAATTCTCGCTTCTTTTATAGGTTATTACCAATGACAGTGCAGTTTTCTGAGCCTTTGCGATACTAGTTTGATCTGCTTTGTTTTGGGGATGTTGCTAGGGTTCGCTCTCAATCCACTGGTGTCTTCTGTCATATTGAAAGGTGCTTCTCCGGGCTGCATGGTGTCCCTGGGCCACCTTTGGGGAGGGTCTCCTTATGCCATTGTGTGAAGGACAGGACAACACGGGACTTCCTTGCTGCTGCTGTGAAAGAAGTGGGCCACCTGCTGGTGCCCTAGTGTGGAAGTAGGGTTGGAGGCACCCCATGAGGTCTCTACTGGGCTCCTTCCCTGTCCCTTGACAGAGAAGACGAGATTTTCTTTCTTTCTTTTCCTTTTTCTCTTCTCTCCTCTCCGTTTTTTTTTTTTTTCTTTATTTTTTTTCTGTCCTTCCTGTCTGTGCTTGTTGGTGGTTCTGGGTTACAGGCCTCTCCAGAGTCCAGTCTGGGGTAGACGGGAGATGAAAACCCAGAAAACGCACCACATTGTTGTTCCTCAAGCCCTGAGGTCCCTAGTCAGGCCATCATCTTTTTTCCAGCATTCAGAGAGTCCTTTTAGCATTGTCTTTGAAATAAATTTCCAAGGTATTTAGTTATAGTTAGAGAAGAGGAGGGGGGAAAAGTGATTCTATACCATCTTGTTCTGAAACAAGCCTGACTTTTAAAGGAAGCAATGGTTCCAAACTGTAAAGAGCAGGACAAGGTAGAATAAGAAATTGATCTGTATTAATTCCACCAGATAGAGAAATGCTGCCTATTGGGTCTGAACTGTATGATTAAAAAATGGGCTTTGTGTATATGTTGGTCTGTAGTTATTAAATAAATTGCCAAGCGCTATCATTTTTTGGATGCATGATCCTGTGATTGGTGGTATAAATGATGTGACACTGATATGTGGGTACAAATTTTGATGGGCCACTTGTCTTAAAACATGTATTCGAAAATACAATGTAACAAGCGTGATCGGCTAATGTTTAACGTAGCTGAGCACTGCGTCTGAAGGACGATGTTTGTGACTTTCTTAAACCCATCATCTGCAGGGAGTGGAGTGGGCGCTGCAATGAGGATGGCAAACAGGATGAATTTACTTGCTAACTCTGCTCAATTGATAGTGGATTCTGTGTCCTGAAAGGTCCAAAAGCAGTGCC